ACTCTCTCTTTCTTTCCTCCCTGACCAACGCCGAGACACGGTTCTAGCACCGTTCGAGACGACGATGCACCTCGTAACCCCATCGCAACCCCATCGCAGCCCCTTCTCCGTCTCGAGCGTTAGCGGAAAAATGGTCGCGCACCGCGCGATACGGAAATTTCCATCGCGGAGAATCTCCTCGACGTTCGCGCATTCGCGCCTTCGCGCCTACCGCCCGACGTTCCTCTCGGCGTCTCTCTTTCCCATCGGCGCACTATGGGGCATTTGCCACCCAAATGCGATAAAAACTCCCTTTTCGTGAAAACCATAGGAAAACTATACGCATAGTTGACGAAACGTTTCTGGCACGGCGTGGCACGACTTTCGTTCATATTTGTTAATTATCAACGCGACTACGCAGCTGTGAAGAAGGCAGCCTCGAAAAGATTAGAATCTAAAATTATTCGTTGCAACGTTATCGCTTTTACATGTTTTCGATACCGAACAACAGTTATATACAACCACCTACAAGCGTGATCGGTGCTGCTACTTTGATTAATCGCGAATAGAATTTTTTACCGCGTTTGCGAGGTAAACGCCCCTCCCAAAAATCGAGTTAGCGAAATTTGCGCGTTTCATCGGAGGAACGTCGGACGTAGTCCGGATTCTCGGTCGTCTCGGCGGAGAAACTCGATCGACGCCGACAGTATCCGTCCGAGCGCTTTATCGTCGCGGCGCATCGAAGGTCGATAGGAGCGCGATCCGAGAGACGAACGGGGAAAGATGGAAACGCGGTATCGCGCGATCGCGATAACGATAACGATAACGATTACGATTACCTACGATCGGATTCTCATTCGCAGCGGAAGCGATTCGGAGACGACTCGACGAACCTCCCGAGACGGTACGTCGCGAGGAAAGTACAAAGCGAAATTGAGCGCACGCCAAAGTCGGCCTTCGCGTCGAAAGTCGTAACGTCGGAATCTACGAGCCGCGTATCGCCTCGTCGCCGCTCGGTCGCATCTCGCATCTCGTATGCGTTAAACGCGCGGGTTACGTAATCGCGCATCGGAGCTTGCGCAACGTCGCCGTTAAATCGGAGAAACACGGAGATAACGGACGCGAGCCATCTACATACGTAAATACGTACATACGCGCGTACGTTCGACGAGGAGTCGACCGAGAAGTTGATCGGGAAGACTAACCGAAGTGCTCGATCGCGGGAGAACCAGATTTTCCCTCGTCGACTCGTCTCGCGGGGACATTATCCGCCGAAATGTTCGATTCGCTCTCAAGCACGAGCCTCGCGCATTCGTCGAGAGAGCCGTTTACGCAACGAAACGAAACGAAACGAAACAAACCATTTCCTCTATTACGTCAGACGCTAGTCGCTGACTACGACGCGTCATCGGTGTACTTGAAACTTTGAGACGGGACGCCTCGCGAACGTCGAAACTCCTCGAACGCGTCGAAGCGGTCGCTCTTCTGTGGTTTTCTCTATCGCCGTCCATCGCGGCAACCCGAAAAATCGACTGTTCGCCGAACGAAAGTGCTAGCTTGGCAATTATAACTACGGTTCAGAGAGCTCAGAGATTCGATTACCGCTCTACAGACATTCCGGGTTTCCCAGCTATTTATACTTGCACCTGCTAGTCATTGTTCAATATGTTTCTAGAGATCTTCAACAATGGAAAATACTCTCCGAAGCATGTAGATCCGATTTCACGTAATTCGCGTTATTGTCTGCAAACCAATTGCGTTTCTTGACTGGCACAACATTTATCCGAATGTTGTCCGTCCTACTACTCGAGTTACTCGCGTTCGACGCGCGTAAAGTACATGTTCAGTCTACTGAAAGAAGCATTCTCTGTTACTATTCCCTTCGAATTTGTCAAGTTTCGTCGAGGAAACGGCCGTTCGGCCGCATCGCGCGACGGACCGATCGACGCGAACGAAACGAGTACCATCGCCGATCGTCGAACGAGCAACGCGACCACGGCAAGACGAACGGACGACGTAGGAACGTTATCGATCGTAGAGATACGCGACGCGGTCCGCGTCTCTCGCGATTCCGTTCGATCGGAGATATCCGCGTCGCCGATCGAACCTCTCTTCTCCCTCGGGACGCGTTTGTCGCGCGCGAATCTCGATCTCGTCGCGAACGGCGGAAACCGTTCGGCCGAGAGCCGCTCGCGACACCGGAGTCGACACCGGAGTCGACACCGGCCGCAACACCGGCCGAAATCGGTCCCTTTCGAGCGTAGAACAGGCACGCCACGTGCGCGTGCGCGTGCGCGCAGCAGCGTCAAAGGGACCTTTTAAACTTTAAAGGGCTCCTCGTTCGCGAGAATTCGCAGACTCGGCCGAGCGGCCGCTTCCGTCCTCCTCGCGGCTACCTGCGATCGTTCGCCGTCCTCGCGTCGCGTCGGCGTCGCGACGCTTTCTCCGAGTTTCGGCCCGATTACGGTCGTCGAGTCGCGCGAGTGGCGATCATGGTCTAATCGTAGCGTCGATTTTTCTCGCATCCGATGACGCGAGTACGGTTGCGAGCGCGGAGGACGCGACGCGGGGCGCGATCACGTGGCAGGACACGCGCCGGCTCTCTCCGTCTCTCGCTCCGTCTTTCTCTCTCCCTCGGTCCCACTCCCACTCTCCCTGCCTATACACGTATACGCGTACGTATCCATCCGAGCATCTATTCGTCCGTTCGTCGAAGCAAGACCTAACCAACGAGACCTACGCGTCCATCTTTCCAGCCGCGTATCGGCTGCCCTTTCCCCTTTGGTTCGCTAGCGCCTGTGCCCGGTGGTCCCGGTCGGTCGGTCTCGGCCGCGGCTCAAGCCGAAAACGGCCCGGCCGCGGCCGATTGCGTCACACCGGCTCGCGGTTAGCTCGAAATTCGAGGAAACGGTGGTTGCCGGTTCGGCTCGCGAGTGCGCGCGCGGTTCGTAGGCGGACGAGAAGGATGGCGAGGATCGCGAGACGGCACCTTTGTTGGGGAACGGCCACGGGTAGATGTCAGCGGCCGAAGGTGTCTCGGCCGGCGCAGCACCGTAAGCTCGAAACATGTTCCCACCGGGCGATCTTCTCGCGACAGCAGCAGTCGGCAACACCGTGCGCCCTGCTCGGTGGACGGAGCTCGACCGGATCGGTGGCGGCCGCGGTGCGCCGGCGAACGGTGCTTTCCCGAGCTCGACGTTCCTCCTCGCAAACTCGTTCTCGCGCGTACCCGTCCGCCGTCTTCGCGGCCGATCGATCTACACTCGCGCTGACACTCGCGCACTGGGAACCTCACCTTTCGACGCTCGACACAGTCGGCGCACCGCGCGCGGCACCGAAACCGAAACCGAGACCGAAACCGAAACGTTCTGCTCGCCGTGACGCGGTGGCGGTGGCGACGGCGGCGGCGGTGGCGGTGGCGGTGGCGGTGGCGGTGGCGGCAGCGGCGGCGGTGGCGGCGGCGGTGGCGGCAGAGACGGAAATAGCGATCACAGCATTCGAAGTTCCGAGTTCACGCGCGACGATACACATACGGATAAGAGCGCCGCGCGATCCGCGACAACCCGACCACGGTGTACCGTTTCTCGACCACGTCTGCGCGAAACTCGTTTCTGCACGGAAATCGCGGTACACCGCGCACCGTCGTCGATCCACTGCGGCAACTTTCGATTCCGAGCGATCGTCGCCGTCGCTGGAGCCGTAGGCGATCCCCGTCCTTTTCTCGATTCCGCTTTCTCGTTGCTCCGTCTCCTTCTCGTTCGCCTCGTTCGCCTTCTTCGCCTTCTTCACCTTTTTCACCTCCTCCCACCGCTTCTTCCTTTTCCACCTCCTTCGCCGCTGGTTGTTTGGCTCGCAACACGGTTCACGGTTCACGGTTCACGGTGCACGGTTCACGGTGCACGGTACACGGTACGCGTTGTCACAATTTTCGTAGAGTCGGCTGGCCGCGCGCGCGGCCGTCACGGCCGAGAACTCGGGAACGCTGTAACGCGAAACGGGATTCGTCGTCGTTCTCGGGAGATTAAGCGCACACTCGCGATCGAACGGATTGCCCTTTCCGGTCGTCCCGTGGTTCGCGCTCCGCGTTTCGCGTTTCTTCGGCCGCTCGACGGTGGACTTTGGATGCTCGAATACCGCGGACGACGGCGGTACCCCGGAGTTTGAGCGAGCACAAGCGCGGTCACTGTTTGTTTTCGAAAAAAGGCGTGGTTACGATCGCGATTACGGTCACGGTTGCGGTTGCGAGTGCGATTGCGCGTTGCGCGTTGCGCGAACACGGAATGCGATGCTCGCTGCACGAAGTTCGCTCGAGGAATGGCCGCTCCGCGATGGTCCTCGGCCCCCAGGCGTGGGAGGAAATGTTCGCCGAGTGGGGGACGCCACGG